CAAGAATCAGTGGCCAAACAGAGCTGACACATAGCCAGCATGCAACAGCTGGCGTCTGGAGGGCTCCTTTTCCCCGCTTTTCACACATTCGCGTCAAAGGAACTCTTCACGGCGTCACACTGCCCATGGAAATTCGGCAATATGCGGCAACGCTGGTCAACATGTCAAACGCGGTCACAAGGGCCAAACGAAGCAGGTTTTTCCCCCGGAGCAGATGAGATTTCAGTATAGCGATTGGTCATATCGAAGGACGAGTCTTGGGATCACATCGGCCAAGGGAGCCGGCTCCGACATCCAGAGGCTTCGACAGCAGCTCTAGTGAACAGTTGCCAGCGCTTGCCTACAAGTCCGGCTGATGTATCCCAAAGAGTCACAGATCACCATGCGTTGTTGTTATCTTTACGCCATCAACACCAATAATTGATAATCCTGGAAGCAATGGAAGAGACGGGTAGAGATGAAGTGAAAGAGAGATTCTTAAAAAAAAAAATGAAAGACAACTAACGAACACATGATGGCGGCGTACGTGGCAATTTCCAGGAATAGTAGATGGGATCGGCAAGCTGGAATGAAGAGAATGGTATCTCTCTTCCATTCGCTCACAGCTTTTGTAACAAGGGTCCATGTCCAGAAGATGTTCACGTTCACATCGTGAGGGTTTACTCGCCCTGCGCGATCTTTCTGATACTGCCCTTTTTAGTAAGGAAGCCAAGGAGGAACAAAAGGACAGCCACACATTTTGGAGGCTCCACATACGTTTGTTTGACCACTTCGAGACATTCCCCCCGGATTTCAGGTCCCACCTCGTCATCTTCGGGCTCTTTATCGAGCAAGGCCTCCGCCTTCTCCTTCTCCGAGCGCAGCACCGAGATGCTCAGGAAGAGCTGCTCCTCGCGGACTCGAAACCGTGCGTGGCTCTTTGTTTTGGGGGAAGCCTTTGTGGGTTTGTTTGGCCCAAGAAACAAACAGGAAACCACGCATTTTTGGGGGTGCCCCTAGTTTCACCCTTTGTTTGGTTGGCCTAAAAGAAACCAAGAGGAAACCACATTTTTGGGGGTTCCCCGATTTTCAGACACGAAAAAAAACCAAGCAAGCCCCAGGTTTCACAGGTCGCTTAGCTTTTGCTTCGACCAGCGCCTGTCCTGTGCCCCGATCCACTCGGTTTCCTGGGTGCGGAGGCAGCGCACCGGGCGCACCAGGCGCCCCGGGCCGGTGAAGACGAAGAGCCCGGTGAAGAGCTTCCCCCAGCGCCGGGTCACGCACACAATCCTAACGCGGCCATAGGTGGCCTTCTGAAAAAATAGATGGGTTTCCCTGGCAAATGGAACAAACCCCATCTAAACCAGTGCCATCTATGTTTAACCAAACTCACCCAAAAAGGACACCTATGAACGCGGCCATTACATCGAGTCAGCCAAGAGAATGTGTGAAGCAGAGCTGAAATCAAATGACCGCTGGTGAATCTAATACTTGAGTACCCAGGTCTGCATTTGCTTCGCGCTATGTACCATCCATGTCAATGTTTGGCTGGAGGAACGGTTCGGCTCTCAAAGATGGAACCTGCGGCTCCAGTTCTGCACCATCTTCCCCTTGGAGTGGCTTTCTGTCAGGGTTCATGTGTGTGTGGAAGGCCAGACATGCACGATGGATTATGAGCAAGTAAACCAGTCACAGGAGTAGTCAATGTCCACACTGAGACGACAAAAACTAAGCATATCAAGCTTCTGCGGATTGGTAGCATCTGAGAATACAGTCATCCAATTGGGATGGCCTAATGAAAGCCCACCAAGAAGATAAACATCGACACGCCATCTGCAACAATTTTGCGCGAGAGGATGGATGCAATGCTCTTCGGCCCTTTTATGAGCCCGCTACTGACACATATAACACGGCCGACCAAACAAACTCAGGAAGCAAACCCAAGTTCCAGGCCTGAACATGGACTCCAAGGCGTTTATTGCTTTCTTTTTTCTTTAAACAAAAGACAAGCAGAAGAGGAAAACAAAGAGCAAAGGCCTAAGGAGTTAAAAAAAATGCGTATCTAAGTCAAGGGTCTCCATGTGCTCCGGGAGCCCGTGCTTCTGGCCCACCTTGCTCCTCCTCAGCGACTGCTCTGCGAAGCCCAGGCGCTTCCGGTCCAGGTAGGCCACCGGCATCCCGTCCACCACCACCCAGGCGTGACGACTGCCTGGCGAACCAGCGGTGAACCCAAGATCGAATCTGCAAATAAATACCAAACTTGATCAAGAAGTGAAGGCTTCATTGGGTTTTTCGTAAACTCCAAATAAAATCGCAGTGCTGTCTATTAAAACCTTACAACCTGAACAAGTCACCTCTCTCTCTCTCTCTCGCTCTGTCTCCGAATGATTCGCCGTGCTGCGACTCTCAGGGGGCGGCCCTGCGTCGGGCGTCCAGATCTGCGCGCCCATCTGCTGCAGCACCAGAATCAGGGCCTCCAGGGCCTGGCAGTTAGGGTGTACACAGAGAGGTATCTGATTGAACAAAAATTGTCGTATATGTCCCCAAAATCTTGAACTTCCCAGTAAAAATGCATATCAAATTATCTTTCTTTCAATATCTTCCCCTCTTTGGGGTCTATTGACAAATAACACTAACCTGAAATAGGCGCTCGCTCGGAGCCCTTTATGAGTCGCTTGCCAACCAGTCGCCAAGTTTACACAGCTTTCATGCGGGTGACGTTCGAACCCAAAGCTCCTCGACCAAAACGGCCCGATGGCAACAGTAGAAAGGAGCTGCGAAATTGGCGGAGTGGGCATTTTGGATGCCTGAAACTGTCACTCACAAGCTTGAGCTGAAACCAAGTGGCAGAGTCTTAAGCTTCACTGGGCATTTGGGAATGTGGCTGGGTAGCTGCATGTAGCACCGGGGCCTCGGAGTTTGATACACGGCATTGTCCTACTTGTGACAAGGGGACGGTCTTGCATTTGGAGAGTCGTGCAAACAGCCTCGCTGTGACGTCCACCACGAATCAGGTGCGGCAACCAGTGCGTTTGTGGTTGCACCGCGCGCAAGAAACAAGGGGGAGGGTCCATGGACTTTATCTGGGAAGGAAGAGGCACATGCTAGGTCCTGCTATGTGATGACACCTTCACAAGGATTCCACAATTCGGAGATTGCCAAGGTCTGCACAACGACGCGTGAGAACAACAGTGGGGAGAGTTCCCTCCATCTTGAGAGAGCATCATCCCACGCATGTTCTGATGAAAAGGTAGCTACACCCTGCCAGCGGACAACATTGACGTCCTGAGAAAACCAGGAGTCGGATTCGCCTTCATCCCGACCTAATGCAGGCGGCCAAACGCACACGACTCCATCTCCCTCTCTAAAGTTACACACCAACTCCTTGAACAATGGGCCCAACTCCTTGGCCCAACGAGATGTCCTTCGCTGGCCTCATTGGTCCCTTGACCCAAAACCGCTGGAGTTTGCCCCGCCTCCGGCATGGCAGGGGTCACCACGGGGTGGCAGGAGTGCGCCAGGTGGTTCAGCCTGCGAGGAAACATCTCGGCCGCCTTCAGCCGCTTGTGTCGTGCTGAAAGAACATGGGGAAACGGCCCGAAACAAGCTCTCCCCACATTGACATGACCCAACCGCTCACAATGGCGGCCCGAGCTGCCAGTGTTTCTTTCAAGGGCAGCTTTGAAGCTGCAACATGAAACCTAAAGCCAGTTGATCCTGTCTGATCCTTTTTCCCTTCAACACCGTTTCAAAAGGCTGGTTCGACGCGTTTGTTGAAAGTAGGGTAAATGAGCCCTGCTCGCCACTGGAAACAAGTCCAAAGCCCCAGAGCAAGTCACGCCGAGGGTTAAAAAAAGTTACACCCAAACATGCACCCCAACAACCCCTTCCTGAATCCCTAGGGCTCGGGTTCCTAGTCCTGCCCATAAGGCGACAGGTTCCTTTCGAGGCACAGGCCACAGGGCGAGCCGTCCGGGGTATGCACGGGGCACAGGAAGCCCCAGGTCTCCTTAGCGCTGCGGCTCGCGCGGGCGAGTGGCAGCAACAGCTTGGAGATGCGATGGAGTGACACACACAGAGTCTGGAAGCGCCGACAAATAGCTATGTCTCTATATATAGATATATGCATATTATAATTATGATGTATGGAGATATAAATTACAACACATATTATGTATGTATATGTATATGAGGGACAAGTGCATGTGCCTGCACGTAAGTATGTCACAGATGTATGAGTATGTACATGCTCACGTGTATGTGTATTTGATTGTATGTGTATTTGACTCTATGCGTATGTGGGTGTATGTGCATGCATGTGTGTATATACATGTGTCTCTCAGCACTTGAGCCAAAACTTTGGCGAAGCCACCTAGTTGCAGTTCATGCCAAAGGTGTCAAACAGCAGGCAGCAGACCTCCATCAAGCGCCCGGCCTATCTACCTGGCATCTGACCCACCTCATGCAAGCCGAGCCGAGCCAGGACAAGTGCACAGGAATGCATAGAACCGTGCAAGCCTACAGCATATGCATGTTTTTCGTTGTCATCTTTGTATGCGTATACGCTGTATGCAGGTAACGGAAGGAATGTATAAGGTAAGGCAATGCAATGCAATGCAATGTAGTTGCGGAGAAGGCAGAGTAATGTAGTGTAGTATAATGTAATGAGCTGCGAGTTGGGTATGTGCCCAAGCAAGCAAGCAATTGACTAACTAGGCGCATGCATGCATGTGTATGTGTGTGTGTGTATGTAGGTGTGCTAATAGCTAGGTAGGTAGGTAGGTAGGTAGGTAGGTAGGTAGGTAGGTAGGTAGGTAGGTAGGTAGGTAGGTAGGTAGGTAGGTAGGTAGGTAGGTAGGTAGGTAGGTGTGTATGTAAGCTACGGCATTTATTTGCTACATGGTTGTTCCCGACTCTTTTCCAACCCTGTGGCTATGTAGGTATGTAGTTATGCATATATGTACGTGTGTGTGTGTGTGTTGTGTTTAGTGTATTGTCAGTATGTCAACAGCGGTCCTTTTTGTGGGGAATGAGTTCTGGAATGCAAAGACACACTCTAAGCAAGTTGGTCCATAGATAGCTGTTTGCATTCAACTCGACGATTGCCAAACAGGATCAACAAACGGTGGTATTACAACTCACAAATAAACATTATCCTTTTTGCAGACTTCTCCCAAAAGCCGTCGGTTTGTTTGGCGGTTCTAATTTTTATGTGGTTATACAAGCCTGTCTTTGTGTTGTTTGCGTTTAATGCAATCGCAAACAGTAAAGTGGTTGGCTCCTTCTTTCTCACCTTTGACAAACAGTCTTTCACACAAACACACACGAGTGCGAACTCACACAAACACGCATGTGTTCTGTGCTTTCTCTGGCTCTCATTTCATAACAGCTGGGGTTGACTTGCGTGCATGATACAAACGTCCGTCTGAATACACAATCCCGAAAATTCTTATGAGCTGTAAATAGTTGTGAACTGATCCGGTATTATTATGAACTGTATGTAACAGGGATCCTTACATTATACACCTGAACATTGCTTTGTAAATGGTGGTTTCCCTTTATTTTGGTGGAAAAGGCCACATGTGTTAAATGGTTGCAAAATGGAGATCTTTTACGGAACCCTGTGAAAATCTGCGGGGATTCGTTCGACCTCCCCCAAAAACCATCATCTAAGTCGCTGGGTCCAAAACCAGGCTTGCTTCATGGGCTTGGACACCGCGATTTTTTGGGGTTTCCCTGTTTGGCTGTGGTCAAAACCGTTAAACGGTTGATCCCATTTTGGCTGGGTGAATTCACCACCCATTTTAGTAGTCTATTTTAGTGGTTGGATTGAATCGGATGTTCAATGGGGGTACGATTTGGCTTTTGACCCATGGCCATTTTGAGACAAAGCCAAAAACGGACCAAGCTTCTGGCAGCAGCTTCCGCACAGTGGTGGTCTTCATCTCTGCGAAGTATTGGCCGCGGTGGATGGAGGCGAAGTGAGAGCTGTACCGCGCCTGGTTCAACTTGTCCGCCACCACCTGGGCACTCCACCCCCGACATGCCCTCCACATGAGTGGGGCTGATCGATATTCCATTTAGGGCCCCCAAATGGTTTTGTGGGAAGTATCATCTTTTGTGTGGCTGCCCCCAATTCTCATCCCATGCAAAGGACCTTCTGATCAACCCCGATATGTGGAGTCGCTCTCAAGAACCAAAGTGGCAGCCGATTCAAAGGGTTCGATTCGTCTGACGCAAACCGATTGCGGAGATACCAAGCAGTTTAGCGCCTCTCTCTTGCCTACAGTACTGCCATGTTCAACAGACCATGGGTTCTTACCTTTGCAAAGGCATTTACGACACATTTTTGGAAAAGACCGACGAACTCTCCGGATTCTGACGGGCGAAACCACGGCCTCTCCCTGACATCTGCGGCGCTGCCTGCGTCCCATCCCTCAAAAAGCGTGGCCCTGGCAGGGAAGCGGACCAGAGAACAGGCTGTGCGGCTATGGTACCGTGAAGCCGGTGGTCTGCATGAGGTCGAGCCCACTCCTGTCGCTCGGCCCGAGAACGGCCCGAAAAAGGCCGTTTAGACAACCATGAGAAGGATTCTCATTGAAGGAAACCATGAACATGGCCCCGATGTGTTCCGCACCACTCGCGTTTCCTGTTTGGTTTCTCGACTGGACAAGCATTCTATGCTGAGATGAATACACCTTGTTCCGATCCCAATGCAGCTGCCTTGCTTCTACAGTCGGGTCGTGGTGGATCGCTCCACTTAGCTTGGCTCCAGATCGTCACCTACATCGCAAATTGAGGCTGCCATCGTTTCACCAGTGGCTTGCTAGTGGCAGGAACACCAAGCTGCAGCCCTTTGGTCGCATTTCGGAGACCCAAATCTACGTTTCAGCCTTGTGGTCCATGCTGGTGGCTTAGGTCCTGCATTTGTGTCCAACGGCCCTCTTTGGGAATATGCCAACATCAGGGACCCCTCTAATTATTTCAAGCATTATGAAGGAAAACGTATCACCAGTGCCATTCTTATGTGGATGGGTTCCAGCCGGTTCTTTGCATCAGTCCACGCCTGGAGGTCACGTTGCCGGTGGCTAGGAAGTTCTCAAGGCGTTTTTGCACTTCCGAGGATTGCTGCATGAACTTCTTCCTCGGCCGAAGGCGGCGAGGTTCACATTTTCGCGCCTGAAGACGCAATGCCAATGCAATGCAATTTTAACGCCGGTCGGGTAGCTAGGCTTGCTATCCATCAGCAATGATCGAGAACATGCAGACGTGCCAATGCCATGCGTAACAACGCAACAAAGATCGAAAAGCATAGCCTCCCGGGACACAACATATTGCGAAAGGCTGGGAGCTGCAACGTGATCACGTTGTGCATCGGCCTGTCTTTGCCACCACTCGGCTCAACAGGAGGGATTCGCCACGAGATAGAAAGTGGCCAGGACTCAGGGACCAAACAGGAGCAAAGCCAGTGCAGCTGCAAACAGGCACAAAGGCATTGGGTGTTTGCTTGGTCTTTGCACTTGGCCATCTTCGGGAATTGGCCTGACTTTGGTGGCAACGACCCCCGTGGGGCTGGATCTTTTTGAGCCCTATTTCAGCTTGGAGCAGCCTGACTGCCAGCTGGAGCCCTCTTCAAAATCATGGCTCATAATGCCCAAGGAACTGAATTACTAAGATTACATTTTCAAGGTGACTTGAATTCGTTTTGTGGTGCCCCGCAACCTTCAAGGCTCCCCTCCGCGGCCCTATTGCCGAGCGAGCCGCAGGTTGCTGCCCTCGTTCGCCACGAAGTCCTCCAGCTTGTACTTGGCCTTGGTGCCCTCCTGCGCATGTTCCATGGCCCGTCGGTCCGTAGGCCGGCCGGCCGTGAAAACCGGAGGGCGCCCGTCTGGTTTGCCCGCGCGTTCTTAAGGTGGCCTTTGGAAAAACAAGGGAGAGCACCTCATCGACTAAAAGGCGGCAAATCGGCAAAAAGACAAAGGAGGGCGCCCTAAACACACACACCAACGACCTCCGGAGGCTTCTGTTGGATACATTAGCCTACATTCTCCTCTCGCACCAAGTTGGAACTGCCGGCCCCAGCCGCCAGAACGACCCGAAGCGGGGGGGTCCCCTGGCTTGGCGCCCCGCCCGGTTTTCGGTCCTTTTTGGTGAGCTTCCGAATGATCATTTTCAGCTTCAACATGGAGACCTCCAACGCCTCCTTCAAGAGCATGCCGTAGAGCTGCCCGGGATGCAGCACGTCGTGGCTGCTCATGGTGTCCTGGAAGCAGGAAAACAACCTTTGATTCCACAATTGGCCCTCCCTGCGCTCATGGTGTCCTGTGTATCTTGGGCTTTTTTCCTGTCAGAGTCTTCGCAAAACGAAGGAGACTGTTGCTGTCCCTGGATGTGCAGTGCCCTTCCTTCCTGACCTTTGAGGCGCTGGCGCTTGGGGGCCCTTCTGCTGTTCCCTCTTGCGTCTCTTTGGTTCGTGTGGCGTGCGCTCGGATGCGCTAAGTTGATGGCAATATCCATCATGTTTCTGCTGCACAGTTTGAACATCGTGATTGAAGGACTCAACTGAAGCGGTTGCGTATCACGGCCAGTCAGCCGACAAAGAGCGCCATGTCAAATGGCCTATGCACGGGAAGACGCAACAAGCTGTCAATGCTGTGCGCCAAGCTCCGGACGCTGTGACAGTGAGGGTCGGGGGGGCTGGGGGCAACAGGAAAGTCGAAGCAAATGCGAGGCATTTGCGCAAACAGAACGCGGGGCATCGAGCTTGCCAACTTTGGACTTGGAGATCCAGCGAGACTCCAGCCAGCCAACCTGGTCAGTTCAGGTTCTGCTTGTACCGAGAGATGAGAACCTTTCTCTCCGGGCTCTCGACAGGGAACACCCCCTATACTATTAATACGGGTTTAGGCGGCTCCCACCCTCAGACCCTTCTATGGGCTTCTCTCCCGTCCTGGTTGTCAGGCTCCACCTCCCCCCTGACCAGCCCCATGAGCTTCTGGAACATGACGCTCAGGGTGGCCAGCTTCATCCACCCGTCCTGCAATATCCCGCAGAGCAAGGGACTGGCGAGCAAATGCATCCGAAGCACGGTGCCCACCTGAACCTTTCAAAGAAAAGTGCTCCGTTCTTCTAGCCTTTAGCCAGAGATTCCCTTCAAAACATCGCGGAGGTTCATCAAAGACCCGTGCTTTTCGCCCAAAAAGTGCTCCCTTCTTCTGGCGGAGGTTCCTGAAAGACCCGTGCTTTTCGGTCACGCACTGGGAATACGCGCCATTTCATGCCAGGACGGTCCAATGCCGGTGACCTCAACTCGTCCTTTACCCGAGCGACCCCGAAGGGGGCGTGCACAGGCCTCCTTTTGCCTCCTGTGACCGTCTGAGAAGAGACCTGGTTGAATGTGAGAAGCGATCAGCCGGGCGTTTGCAACCATTCCCCTCTCCCGCTGTCCCTAACGTGCACCATGAAGAACTGCCTCACCATCCACTCCCCGATCTGCTCGTCCGTGAAGGATCTGGGCAGGTCTCTTTGCAGCACCACTCGGAAGGTCTGACCCAGGTATTGCCGCGCATCCCGCCGGTTGCTGATGTGGAGCTTCGCGTTCTGCTGCTGCAACATCACCAGGACCTGGTAGCCAGGACTTGTTTGTGCATCATTGCATTGAGAGCAAGAACAACGCGGGCGGCACCAAGAAGCCTTGTCATGCCATTGTCTAAAGTCGTGTTTTCCCTGCAACACAGGCTTCAAGAAAAAAATAAAAAGCCGCGGGCCCCAAAGGCCAAAGCGTGGACCGATTTTGGCACCCTCGCTTCCAGACTGGGTTGGCCAGGAAAAAGTCTGCACTTTTCATTTACCACTGGTCTTCCCAAAGAAGTCTCAAGTGCAGGAACTCGGAGTGAGCAAACGCCAGTCCGAAACATCCCTGAGCCGGTGGCTGTTTCCCAGAGATCGTGGTTCGCACCGGGCTCATCTCCAGGCTGCGACTCTGGCACACCTCCCCCGGCCAGCAGCTCCACCAAGAATCCTAAGCTGCGCTTTGCAATTTGGCCATGGGTCAAAAGCCAAATCGTACCCCCCAGTGATCATCCCAATCCCCACTGAAATTGGCTAGAATGGGTGGTGCACCTTGCTAAATTTCGTGGGTATGGTCAGTTCGTCGGGAGTTCGTCGGGGATTGGGGCTAACTCCTAAACCTAGGTCCGAAGCATGTTAGTTTACATATTCCCAAAGCACATTTGATGATTTCAACCCAAATTCAGCCGCCGCATGTTTTCACCCAATCGGCAGTGGTCGCCACTGTCGTGTACCCGCACCATACAGATCCTACAGAGCCTGCTTTTTTGCAGGTGGCAACTCTGCACACGCTGAGCGCTTGAACATGAACTCATTTATTTTCTTGTTCTGGCTCAGCTCGGCAACGAGGTTGGCACACATGGCAACCAAATCAGATTTTTTCATACATTTCGTCTTGGCCTTCAAGCTCTCGTCGCCCGAAAGCTCAAGGATTTTGGCCTTCAGGTTCGGGACGGTCATCTTCGCCAGGGATTCCACCGACAAAGCTTTCAACGCCTGGACAAAAATGCTTGGCTTTGCATCGTGGTTTACCGAATCACTCATGACCAACAAAACATTCTTTTACCACATATGGCCTCGTCAGTAGGCCCTTCACGTTGGTGAAGCTTTGGCCTCTTTCTTTGGGCATCATCAGGATCATCTGCCTCCGCCCGAGTCAAGTATTTTCCCAACACAGTCACTGGGCATTGCATAAGTTGCATCAGCCAAAAAAGTATGTCCTAAAATGCATGTCCTGAATCAAGCTTGTCGGACTTCGTTTGCTGCAGTATTTCGTCACACAGTCTACAAACATAGGATTATAGGCCCCTCTGCTTGATTCACCCGAACCCAAAAAAAGATGAACGTAACACAACCTCAAAATGTCACATGGAGTGAGTCTGGAAACCCAGTGGTTGTGGTTGTAGTTTGTAGTAGTAGTATGCAACATGTGTGATGTGTAGTAGGGGAAAAGGGGAATCAATTCAAACCGAATGTTCACGCTGCCGGCGCCTGCTGAGTTGCACGTTTCTCCTCAGCTGCTTTCCGCAGCACCACATCTCCTTTCTTCTCCTCAGCTGATGTCTGCAGCAACGCCTCTCCTTTCTTCTTCTCCTCAGCTGCATCCTCAGCTGCGTTCTGCAGCCGCCTCTCCTTTCTCCTTCTCCTCAGCTGCATCCTCAGCTGCTTTCTGCAGCGCCGCCTTTTGTTTATGCTTCTCCTCAGCTGCGTTCTGCAGCAACGCCTCTCCTTTCGCCTTCTCCTCAGCTGAATCCTCAGCTCCTTTCTGCAGCGCCGCCTTTTGTTTCTGCTTCTCCTCAGCTGATGCTTTCTGCAGCAACGCCTCTCCTTTCTCCTTCTCCTCAGCTGCATCCTCAGCTGCTTTCTGCAGCGCCGCCTTTTGTTTCTGCTTCTCCTCAGCTGCTGCTTTCTGCAGCAACACATCCTCCTCTTTCTGATTCTCTTCAGCGGCTTTCTGCAGCGCCGAATCTTCTTTCTGCTTCTCCTCAGCTGCTCTCTGCAGCGCATCCTCCCTTTTATGCTTCTCCGCCTCTTCTTTCTGCTTCTCCTCAGTTGCTATCAGCAGCGCCGAATCATCCTCTTTCTGCTTCTCCTCAGCTGATTTCTGCAGCGCCGCATCCTCCTCTTTCTGATTCTCCTTCGCCTCAGCTGCTCTCTGCAGCGCCGCCTCTGCTGTCTGCTTCTCTTCAGCCAGCCTCAGCTTCTCCTCAGCATCTGTTTTTTGTAGCGCCTCCTGTTTCTGCTTATCCTCAGCTGCTTTTTGCAGCGCCACAGCCACATCCTCCTGGTTCTGCTTCTTCTGCTCCTCAGCTGCTTTCTGCAGCGCCGCCGCATCCTCCTGTTTCTGATTCTCCTCCGCTGCTTTCTGCAGCGCCGCATCCTCCTGTGTCTGCTTCTCCTGCTCCTCAGCTGCTTTATGCAGCACCGCATCCTCCTGCTTCTCCTGATCCTCAGCTGCTTTCTGCAGCGCCGCACTCTCCTGATTCTGCTTCTCCTGCTCCTCAGCTGCTTTCTGCAGTGCCACATCCTCCTGTTTCTGCTTCTCCTCAGCTGCTTTTTGCAGCGCCGCCACATCCTCCTCTTTCTGCTTCTCCTGATCCTCAGCTGCTTTCTGCAGTGCCGCATCCTCATGTTTCTGCTTCTCCTCCTCAGCTGCTTTTTGCAGCGCCGCCGCATCCTCCTCTTTCTGCTTCTCCTGCTCCTCAGCTGCTTTCTGCAGCGCCGCCGCATCCTCCTCTTTCTGCTCCTCCTCAGCTGCTCTCTGTCACGCCAAATCCTCCTCGGTCTGCTTCTCCGGAGCCTGCTTCGCAAACGCCGGATCATCCACCTCATGCTTGATCTTCATCGTCGCCTCCTCACCAGCGGGCTGCGTGTCCTGCAACGTTGCTGCGGCTGATGCTTTGCCAGAGCCAGAAGAGCGGTTGGCATTGGCCATCACCTGTTGCAGCCCGTATGTGATTGCCTGCATCGGTACGGACTTCGGTAGCTGCTTCACGAGGATGTTGAAGTCGTCCATCCGAGCAGCGCTGACAAAATTGAGAGGCACCTGGCAAGGAACAAGATGAATAACCAACCCTAGCCCCTCAGAGCCCACAATGGACGCCTGACGCCGTTGCTTGTGGCTGAGAATAGGATTAGCCCTGGCCCTGAACCAAAGGAAATATATACAAGACTGATTGACCTAGCCATCTAGCCATCGCAAGGCGTATTCGATGCACCAGGAATGGCATACCGATTCGATGTGCCACAAGTTGGCTTACCAGGGCCTACCAGGGATCATTACTTATGCATGTGTCCTGTATCAGTGCGTTCCGAAGCAACAACCCTGATACGGGCCTTCACGGTGATGGAGTCTTGATTGATGGCGCGCTCAAAAAAGTAGAAGGCGAAGGGCAAGCACACCACGTCCCCTGGAAGTATCTGAGCAACAGCAAAACTCGGCACCGAAGCCGGCGATGCTGCCAGCGAGGTTGGCGTGGTGTCCTGTTTGGGCCATCCCGAGAGGTAGTTGCGATTGCACTTGACACCCCCGTTCATCACATTAACAACCATTTCTGGGTCATCATGGTGGTCTTCAAAGGGCGCTGTGCGGCACAGGGAATGAAACTAAAGGGAAATGAACTAATGAAAGAAATCCATTGAACCAGTTGAGCCCTGCCCGCCCAAACCGATTCCTTGAGGAAGTCCAGAAGAGCTGGGATGTTCTCATCTTCGATGAACTCAGCCACCTGCCGGCCGAAATCGTACGCAAATGCAATGCATCATCATGGATTCATGGATCGCATGATGTGTACTTAACACAGTATGGATTGTGCCACTGAGTCAAATGCAGTTTCATCATGTCTTGGCACCCAGGGCCCAAACGGGCCTCCGAAGGTCGGGCAACCGCAAGTAGCCGCCCACCAGTGTGCTGAACCCTCAACGAGCCCAGCAGGTTGGACTCCACCCCGCAATACGAGGTGCTGTGCGACAATGCTGAAAAGGTAGGCCTGAACATCTCATTCAGCACCGGGTCCGCATGGCCAAAGTTCCTTCAGGTGATCAATGGCCAACAAAAAGCATCACAGGGGTTGGTTACTGGGTCAAACCAATGTTGCCACAGTGTGTGGCAGACCGTGGCCAATGTTAAATCATGGTACGGGCATCCGGTGGTTGAAGGTTGCCTTGAAATGGTTGCTTCATTCAAACAAGCATCCCCGTGTCAAAGAACTTCTTCATGGTGTCGACCTCCAGTGTGAGCCACTCATCTTCGAAGTCGTCAGGCGGTGTGATTGTCGACTGCACCGCCTGCAGCAATACACAGTTGTGCAGTGTGGAGTGTGGAGTGAGTCACTTGCTACACAAGTTGCTTAACACACATTGGTGGAATCGGTGATGGGCTGAATGCATCTGGCATCTGCATCTGGCATCTGCAGCATCTGGCAGTATCACATCAGACATCTGATGGCCATTGGCCAAATTGGTCATCATGTAGTACATCAACAATGGCTTAACCGATTGCCTGCCTGCACCAACGTGGAGATCGCGTCATCATCCGAGGGGCACGGAAGCGAAGTCCTTTGCACAGGCTGGCCCTTGTCGCGGGACAACTCGCGGTGCTCCTCGAACTTAGCGGCGAAGCCCTGCACAAGGCTGTTGAGTCCAGATTCCGCCGCCTTCCAGTCTGATGCCTTAGATTGGGCCCAGGCCCAGACCACCCTCCCCTCTCAAAACAAAATAGAAACAACCCAACTATGACATGACATCATGTTAAAACACATTATGTGTAATGTGCACCAATGGGTTCGGACTTCGCCTTGTGTTGGTATCGAACCATCTCATCACATTGATGAACAGCTGACAGCTGAGCTCAAAATACTGGAGCGGCCCGGCCCACCAACTACCAACTCTCAAAAAGCAGCATCAATCATGTGAAGATGCCACAGACTTCAGGAAGCTCTTCCCCTTCTTCGGGCGGAGGATGAACGGGTCGCCGTTGGCGATGCAGCGGTGCATGCCCGCGTCCCCATCATCCAGATGCAAAACCGCGATGCGGCGGTGCATCGGGAACTTCGCCATGGTCTTCATCACCGGCGCGTCATCCTCCGTGATGTCGACCTGTTTCATCCTCCGCTGCCTGGTGACCTTCTCCACGGCAGCAGCGTCTGGCTCCCCCGCCTCCGCCTCCTCCCGCTCCCTCTTCCTCGCAGCACGCTCCAGTGCCTTAGCGGAGTTTGATGGGCCCTGAAAAAATGTGAAGTAATTTAATGAACCAATCGGAATTATCACTATGGGCAATTTGGCAATATTGAGGATTTATGATGTGTTAGTATTAATGACCATGTGTTTATGAGCAAGGAGTCTAGTTTGGAAAATATCTGCCTTACGTCAATGTATGGCGACCACTGACCACGAGCCAAGATGCCGTCTTCTCCTTCTTCTCCTGCGCGAGCCTCCGCTGGTTCTCCTTTT